GTGTTCGTGCAGGAGAATCTGCAGGTAACCCTGGTTGACACGAGCTCTGCGACTCGTATGAAACTAAACCATTTACGACAAAGACGTGCAGAAAACCCAAGACTGTATGAAAACTAAAAATTGTACATGATGTGCAGTGACACTAACTACAAAAATCACAGAAAAAAACATGAATTAACACATTTACTTAAAAAATAAAAAGAGGCATGAACCACGAACAACACTGACATTAAATTGTTCAACAACATTTGACTGTAGAATATAGATAATATCTACTAAAATAAGAGGGAAAAAAGCAATAATTTACATGTTAACGCTAAAGAAACAGGCCCAAAGTGTAAATAACATCCACTTAAAAATATCAGTATTTTTTAGAAATGGCAATTAGTTTTCATTGCAAACCACCATAATAAAAGAAAACATCTCTTGTGAGGAAAAAAACTCATTTTTATTATGAATTTAAGTTGCTGTTAATATCAGCAGGTAATCAAAGCTAAATTCTAACACATTTCTGGAATTAGCTCTTTATGTTTCACACATTTACTCTGATTATGTTTTTTGTTGTCACGATTTATTGTCTGGATAAAAAGGCTGAACGTGACAAACTCTAGAAAGCTGCACGTCCTTCAGATTTCATCATCAGAATTAAAACAGAACTGTTTAAACTAAGAATTTATCTCCAAGACGACAAAAGCAGAAAAACCTCCCGAGACGCTGAAGGAAGAAGTTTTTGTTTGTTGTGCGCTGAAGGTCTGTCGATGAACTTGCGAGGAGCTGAACAAACCCGCGGTGGTCACGTCAGACGGAGAATCAAAGCGAGAGTCTCCCCTAATGAGATTATCTCCTTATTACACGGAAGACAAAATAATTTAAGCCGTCTGGCCTTCATCAGCGGGAAGCGCTGAAGGCCAAAAACATTTTGTGTCGCCCTGAATGAGAAGAGGAGGATTACATCGCCTCATTAGGAGCGAAGACGGTGGCCGAGACGTTCGACAAACTTCCCGATGACCCGCTGAGTTTCCTCCTCGTGTCCGGACCGACAGAAACCAACTCCTGGAATGAGTTCATTTCAGGAAGACGGGAAGCGATGGAGGGAAAGCAGCGACGGATAAAGTTATGATTCTGACACAAATCTGGACTTTAAATGCTGATTATTCGTCTGTTTTAGGAAGCGGATCTCCTCAAGAAGCCGTGATAAAAAAAAAAAAATCTATATTAATTTACATGTTGACTGTAAAAAGAACCTGCATTTCTATAAAATACATTTTTTTTAATGGTAGCTAAATCTGCAAAAATATGGTTTTACAGATATCTGCCAATAATTGTAGGAAAAATCATGAATACTTTGGACAAAAATTATTTAAAATTGATCATGTTTTTTACTTATTCTATAGATTTTCTCAGCTTTGTTCAATTACAGACAATATTTGGTAAAATCACAGAAAAAAAAAACACCTAAAAAAGACCAAATTGAACATCTGATATCTGTATTATCATAAAAAGATTAAGTTGTTCTTTTACGATGTTTGACTTTAAACCCTTAATTAAACCCTTTTTGTGGTATTTAAATCAGTAAAAACAGAATATATCGCAGATACTTGGCAGAATTTAAAAGAACAAAAACATGTATGTTCAGGACTTGTTTTATAGATTCTCCCTGTTTTGTTAAACTACAGTTAATATCCAATAAAACCACAGAATGAAGGCTTAATTTATATGATAGCTGTGAGAACAAAGGGCCAAAACTGCAGTTAGAGTAAGTTTGAGTGAGGTTTTCCATGTGTTGTTAAATTATAGATAACACCTCCCAAAATCAGAAAAATAAAAATGATTTACACGTTAACAGTTAAAAAAAGAAACCAAAACTATAAATAATGTTAAAAATTGGGCTTTTTTCTAAATTCTAATTTGTTTTTTCACATCTTTTGACTGTAAAATTACACTTTAAAAAGGTAAATAAATAAACTTTACAGATATTTGCTGACGTTTTGCACATCAAGGATCAAAAAATGGTAAATATGTTTTTAATTATGCTGTTTTGTTGTATGTAAATCTGGTAAAAATGTGATTATTTTACAGAAATTTGCCATTATTTTCACGTTTTTTTAACATTACAGTATTCCACCGTTGTTTCATGTA